GCAGCCACACGTTTGAATGTTTTTACAGATGGTAAACATTCACAAAGCCTTCCATATGGACTCAAATGAGGTTTCTAAGTGACCAAGCTGTGGACTGGGCTGTGATTCATCCCTATGTTTCACCATCCTGTGGTTTCTCTCGTGGAGTAGGTGGAAGGAAAAAAAAAGAGTTCTGCTTTTCTAGTTTTTTTTCTTCTCTTTGTTTGGGGATATTGCAGAATTGCAAACAAAAAAAACAACAACAATGAGCATTTACAAAACCAAAGACGCGCCACATGTGCTTTACTGATCCTTTTGTTTGTTGCTTCTGTAGGACAATCAATTTCTCCCGCATTCAAGTGTATGCATGTATAGTTTTGCGATTGTGTGTGTCTGCGTGTTTGAGAGTGTTTGCCTCAGCGGGGAGGGTGTTGGAATGTAGAGGGGCTAAACTGGAGCATTGCAGTGCTACCGCTGGCCAACCAGTGGGCTGGCAGCTGCCACGGGGCTTTATTAGACACTATGGAGGAGGTCACAAACAGGAGTTCTCCAGGAAAACCGTCAGAACCCAAAACAAACACAAGCGTGCCTCTGATTTAGATCTAGCCTCATTCCCTCTCCCTCCTTTCCACTCTGTCTGTTTCTCTTTATACTTTCTGTTGTTCTCAATTATACCCACTCATCTTTGTCCCCCCTCGCATTCTCCAATGCAATCAACTCCAGCTCTCTTGCACGGTCTGCCCCCCCCCCCCCATTTTCTCTCACACATGTTTATTTTCCGTCTGTTTGTCCAGTGCCTTTTGTTGATCCTACGTCTGTCAGTAAACCAGGGCAGTCATTAATCACAGGTAAATGCACACAGAGAAATCAGACACCTTGGGGCCAGTCCTCTCATTCTGCTCAAGAAAACGTTTCTCTCTACATGCTCCGTGGAGAGGGATGTGGTAAATGGAGCACAGGTGCCGCAGCGGTTGTAATAAACACCAAACGGTTGCACTGAAACACGCACAAAATCAGATACAAATCTTGACATTTAGTATGCAGACTCAAAAGCTATGACCAGGAAATAAATACAGAGAACAAATTACCCACACGAATGCTTCAGTGAAAAGGTAAAAGTTCTCAAATCTCGTTCCTTGTCATATCATTCCAAGAAGGGTACTCGACAAGTGCCCATTTATTTGGATTATTGCTTTCACTGCTGTTGTTTCCCTTAACAGTTTTCCTGCCAATACAGTCCTCTGCGATTATTGAGGGATATAATCCAACTTTAACAGAATCCCTGGCCAGACCCTGTACAGGATAGTGAGCAGGAGCATTTTCTCTCACAGAAAACTCATCCAATAAAAGAAATGTTTGGCTGTGCCATGTCTATCTCCTCTCTTCATATAATCATAAATCTGTTAAGTATTGCCCAGAGCAAAGTAGGACTGAATCGAAAAAGTGTAAGATACAGAATGAGAGACTGAAGACTGGACCCATCATATAAATGAGGTGGGCGAACATGACCTTTATTGACCAAAAAACAAAACAAAAAAAGGGAATACTGACGAGCTGAAATCTTTTAACAACCGAACAACAGACATCATGCATTTTGGCATTTGTTTTATCTATGTTTTTCCTTTTTCTTTTTGCTGCTGTTTGTACTAATGGGAAACTTAAGGGATTGTGTGGGTTAAGGAGGGCTGGTGATGTTGAGTCTTTATTTACCCAAGCAAAAGAAATCGATGCCGTTCTGCCGTAAGAGAAGTGTGTGGATCAATGCAAGGTTTCAAAAAGCCTTTGGAAAAAAAAAATCAATGTCCCTTACATGCTATTGATGGCTGTTTGGCCACAGAAGAAAGAGAACGACAAAGAACACCTGTTTATCATGAAAAATTACACTACGCTCTTTTTGTTGGACAGAAGTCTTTTTGGATCTCTTCCTTGTGTCTTCTCTTCATAATACTCCTGTGTTTTCCATAACACCTCTTGCAAATCCTCCACTTTCTTTTTCTATTTTCCCTGTTTCTGGTTAAAAGTCTCCCATGACCCTACTTAGATTAACAAGTATAGAAAATGGATGGATGGATGATTAAAAACTGGCTTGTATACAAGTTATTTGGACAGGGGGAAATGTTGTTTGTGATCAGTAAGATAAAACAGCAACAATTTATTCTAGGACACAGTAATCTGATGTGGTCAATTTTGAAACACACAAAGTTGCACCACGTCCTCGACATCTTGATGTACAGTGGAAAAGTGTGGGGGTGTCAGGCAATTATTTCAGGACCACTCTTAATGAAATGCAGTCAATAACATCCCTCTGAGCTCTGACACTGTTTTGGCTTTAGTGGCAGATGGGAATACAGCTCTGCCTATACTTAATCCACACAGTAAACATTTCCCTCAACTCGTGTCAGGGTGCGATCTCAGAGGCCACTCAGATTGGGCCCGTGTCCTGACACAAGCCAAATCTTGTGGCGGACTGATCAAAGTGACAATGCTGCAGACCCACAGAGATGCAGGTGAGCGCTGCTGTCACCCCACCTGTCCGACTGATGGCAACTTGGTCAGGGCATGGGGAAAAGCGGTGGGATGCCGATGAAGGCTGCTGTTTGCATGTCAATCCGAGCTGTGTTGGATGACAGACCAGCCCATTAGGAGAGGGACTGACTTCACAGGCCATTACGGGGAGGCAGCACGCGGCGCCGTGAGTGATGGCACAATCGGAGGCAGACAGGATGACTGAGAGCTCTGCTTTGCGGTGTGATTTTTAGGAAAAAAATTGTGATTTTAAGTCGAAAACCAAACAACAGAGAAATGACTTTAGTCACATTAAAAAGTAAAATGTTTTCCAGTGATGCAATTAATTGTTCAAGCAATGAAGCTGTCACAGCAGGAATAGGGACATACATTTTTCTTTTCATATTTACTCACCTGGCCTTATATAAAGCACTCTGATGTTAATAGAAATTTGATGCAGGCTTGTCTGGACACTCGAACTTAAGTTTAAATGGATCTTTAAATATATATAGTTCATTTAAGTTTTCATATTCAATCACTGTAGATTAAACTAGGTTGAGTAAAAAAAATAGAATGACACAACAAATAAGAAAAAGAAAATAACAGAAAAAAAACCTAGAGCAATCATTTACAGATGACCAATGTCAATGCATGCAATGATCGACCATATCAACAGAAACCTGCTGGGTGGTGCATTCTGTTTTACAAGGGTTCACCGCAATCAACAAACACTAATGATATAAAAACTCACAATGTGCAAGGACCGCATCATAACTGCTTGCAGCTATGTTTTTTAATTGACTGCAGAAAAGAGAGCAGATGCACATGAGCCGAGGAAGACAATTGTAACAATAATCTAAAAGTTATGGAAATGAACTAAATACATAAACAATAAGTTTGGCAAAAAAAGCATCCCCATGCCACAAACCCTCGCCTCCTTGTTAAAATCGGTCCATGTCGGTATGGCTGCGCCTGCCCTCCAGTCATCATTAAAGAGAAAGACAAGGGCCTCAGAGCTGAACAGAGGCATCAGCATGCATCACTTCCCCCCTGTACAAAATGCTCAACTCTCAGCAATCCAGCAGCCCCTGACGGACCTATTTACTGCACAAAATGGATTGTGTTTGGCTGCTCACTATACTTCCAAATGTTCTTTTGATACCCCTGCTCTTTCCTCCAGCCCCATCCCTTTTGTCTCACTCTGGTTCTGGCCAGTTCAAGGAAAAAGCTGAACTGTCTGGTGACTTTTTTTTTTGCTGGTATAGCTACTATTGAGGGGCTGAGAAGGCTAAAAAGGAGAATGCCACATAGTGGTAGGATGGGACATATTGCAGATGTAGAAGCTCTCTGGTTCCAAAAACACAGATTCACAAACTCTCTTCTCTTTGACTTGATACAAAAAGTTATTTTCAAGCAGCTTCTCAGGCTTTTCTCTGGGGATGTGATAAAACCTGGATGAAAACAAAGAGCTGAATGAAAAGGAAAAAAAATGCTTCTTTTGCAGATTTAAAAACCCAGGGAGATAAAAAGTGAGAGGTCTGTAAATAACAACGGAAAGCCTGTGGCTTGATATTCCCAGATAAAGAGGTACAGAAAGACAAAACGGGTAACCGGGCCACCATTTCTACCAATGTTTCTTTTCATTCTTTAAAAAAAGCCTTCAGTAACCAATACTGTAATTTCTAAATAACAATCAATAGGTTTTAAATGTATAACTTTAAGTTGACTTCATTTGTCATAGTAGGATGTTTGAGTTTTTATATATGTCAGCAGGCATTTACACTAGACTTTTAATAATCCATGGCTCAATTTGCCATGGATACATTTTCAAAAAGACAAATTGCCAAGAGGAAATTAACAATACAATATTATGTCCATAATGTCCATTATGTGTGACATGACAGACCGCACCTCATGCTGTTTGTTCAGATTTAATCCCTTAATGAAATCTGTCCTAATTAGGGCATAAAGAGTGAATAACTGTCTGACTCTGGCTGGACTCTGGCAAGAACAGCATTTCCAATTTCATTCAAGCCTCTCACTGTGGCGTCTTTATTAGAGTTTTAACTGGGTAAATATTCTATGACAAATTGTGTTGTCATAAAGGAGCTATGAAATTAGCATTGAACCTTGGGCAACCTTTCTGAAATATCCTGATAAAGGGAAGAAAGTTTGCATAAAGGGGAACAGATAATAATTTGTTTAACTATGAACCCTTAGGACCTCTCGCTGTGGGGGAGTTTAGCTGCTTAGCGGCACTGGAGTCTCCTCAGTGTCTGAAGGGAAAACTTCTCAGGGTCAGTCGGGCTTCCTAAATACCTTAAGAAATTGTAACTGTAATTACATCAGGGGAACACAACATAATTATCTTCAAGGATATGGAGAACAAACTAGTTATGCTAATGCGTTTCAGTTCTTTATCACCATCTATCACACATTTCCCCAATCAACATTTGCAGTAAAGTGCCCTCAAGAAATCCCAGATGTGAATTCCGAGGTAATCAGCGATCCAGCCAATCAAATCTGTTACTTACACTGACAAGCATCTGAGGGAAAGGTCCTCGAGAATTTTCCGCCACATTGATTGGTGGGATCACCCAGTCCCTCTTCTGTCTTCGCAGACCCCTGGTGCTGTTGGGGCTGGAGCCCGAAAACATGATGACGGGAGGCGGGGCCTG